TACCACAAGTGAGTCCACAATTTAAAGGTGGCAAAGAAGCGAAGTATAGATTACAATATTTCACAGCCATTCAATGTTAGCAGGCAACATAAAAATCTCGTAAATGATGGCAAAGTGGCAACCACAACCTTTAATTTAATACTTCATGGATAAATTCTTCAAGATCACCACAAACAAGAAGAAAAACTTACTTGTACTTTAAAAGGACATTTTGTTGAAGTATTTGGATATTGGTTTTGGGTTTTCTCAGTGCATAAAGTTTCTGAACAATGAAATCAAACACCTACAGACGAAATTTTGTATTAGTTAATTTTTACCTAGTAAATGGCCTACCAAATACAAAGAAAAATGAGCTATAAAAAAATATTATTCTTATTATTTTAGGTAACCTTTGAAACTGCTTTCTGCCTGAGCTTCTCAAGCTCAGGTTGAACATCTTTTAGAGCTTTTGAAGCTTTAACCAATGGATCGACTTCTATAAACTTCAGTTTTTTACTGAGAATCTCTAGTGTTCTCATATATTCTTCATTGACCTGAAAAGAAGTCCAAAGTGTACAAGTCTACTTAAAAGATTATATAACAATAACGTGGAAATACAATGAAAGAAACTATACACTTAAGTACTGAGTGATCTGAATGAAAATAAAAAACATAGACAGGACAGTGGAATTGAAATAAATTAACTCTAGGACAAAAAATCAAAGAAAACCCAGACGACAGTATCTCAGTGGACAAAAAATCAAAAAATCTATGCATTATATTAAAATTCAATATAATCATTGTACAATTTTTAAATGTTTCTATGGCTACCAATGTGCAGATATGTCAAAATTAACAAAGCTAATCAAGATTCAAGCTACAAGATTCCTAAAATATGAATAGAATTAGCAAAGCTACTAAAGATATTGTGTCTACAGCATAATAATGACAAAAGTGACCAATGATGTGAACAGTCAACATCAAAAGTAAAACACCTGAGAGATCCTCAATTAGAATATTGTTTTTTAAGTCGTAAAAACTGAAATGGATGTAAAATACAAACTAGTATAATACTATTAAAAATAAATATATATTTTCACACCACAAAAGGCATCTTATGCAATATTGGTAGAGAGCGTTGGGGCATGGAAAAAATATAAATACCTCTCCATCAACAAGAATATCAACCATCCTTGGAGGCACTATTATGTCCTCCACAAACTTAGCTAATTTGGATTCAGCCACCTGTTGGATGATACAAGAAAAACCTTAACACAAGTAGAGATTGATAAAAAAAGGTCTAACTTATCTGGGGTGTAAGGAGAAGAGACAAAAATACAGAAAGGTAATGGATAAACATTATAAGATATCAAATTGTTTATTTTGGTGAAGATTGCTTCCCAGGTCAAAAAGACTTAGTTACAAATTGGGTTTGGTTCAATTATTATTAAGAAAGGCCCAAAAGGGTGTTATGATACATTAGTGAGCAACTATGAAATTTATTTCGTTTAAATTAAACATTCATACCTTGCGATTCTTAAGTCTTAAACTCATATCCATAGATTTCTCCTGGAGTATCCTTATGTCCGAACTAATGGAACCAATTTCAGCCTGATAAAAATTTAAAAATAATTTCATGATCTAATATACAATAAATACAAAAAAAAAGGACTTCAAATATTTTAGTAAGTCCTTCAGATTATTGAATGTACTGCTGTGGTTTAACATAGTTCCTGTTACATAACTATTACAGATGAATAACAAGTAAATAAGTACTAAAGCATCAAGCGAATCTAATCATTCTCATGGGGAGAAGTCTTCATAAAAAGGAGGGGAAGTTCATGTGTCAAATTCAAGCTTCAAGTTAAAACTTACTTGGCCAAAAACATACCTGAAATCCACTTAGAAGAGTTTCCATCTGTGACCTATCACAATCACGAAATTGATCATGAAGAGAGACTAGATTATCACTTTCTTTGATATAATCCTGTAATAAAATGAACGATATTAAAACTAGTAATCGGAACAAAAAAATCAAAAGCATTAGCTGAGCAAAACAACCACACTTTTATCAAATATTCACACTAACCACAAGGAATATAAAATGGAGCAGCAATTAAAACTTTCAGAAAATTGACCACAAACCTGAATTGAATCCAATTCAACTTTACGTAAATCGTTCTCTACTCCTTTCGTGTAGTCCCTAAGTTTGGTACCTTTAGAAAGTATATTAGCAACAACCTACACAAAACAGAGCAACCTAATAACTTAATACACGTCGATCCATTTCAACAGCAGTAATGATTTCAACACAGCGACCACAGAGTGACTCACATCATTGTTCTTACACTCTTCCAGTTCCTGCTCTAGTCCTTCCAACGATATATCATCGCTGCAAAGTCAAGTTAACCGAAACACGTGAATCAACTAGTAACCATCTTGATTCCAGACTTCAGGCTTTAAAGTGTACGAACTGAAACTAAACGGGGTAGAAAGCGAAGAAAACCTGCTCGGATCCTCTTCCAAAGCTAGGTCACCAACAAATGCTCCCAAATCAAACACATTCTTTTGTGCATCGCTGGTTTCGCCAATAGAGGGACTCTGCAGAGAGCGGAATAAGTAAAGGGTTACGAGAAATGGAAATCAAAAATAGTAATTGAGTGAAACTGAAAAGTGGAATGGTTTCAGATGTAGTGCACCGCTGTGACTCTGGCAACATCCGCCATTGTTGACGAGAGTGTGGAGTGTACGGAAGAAGGATAACTGGATTAGAAGAAGCGCAGGTTGAGGTTCAGCAATGCATCGTCAAAATGAAATGCAGACACATAGATGGTTGGATTGAATGAGATCTGAACGGATCCACGACGAAGAAACAACAAACTTTACCGATACCAGTCCAAACAAAATGAAAGTGAATGGGATTGGGAACCAAATGAATTAAAATTACCATATTATTTGTGTGATTTATTCTTGAACCAAAAAATGTTTTCAATAGTATTAAATTTATTTTATTTTGTTATCTTTTTTATTTGGTTGATAATTGTCAAACAAATTATTTTTAGTTATTTGACATTTTTTTATTTATACTTATTTAAAAATATATATATATATATATATATATATATATATATATATATATTATTTACTTATATATTATTTATTATTTTTTTATATTTATTTTGTTACCTCTTAACATTTTATGAGATTTTCTATGTGGATTAAACAAATCTAAAACTATATAAATGAATCATTCGTATATATATATATATATATTCAACGATTATGATAATATATAATGGACATTTTTTTTCAATACATAAATTAAACTAATCTATTAATAAATTAAAGAAGTTTATTACAGTTTAGATAAATCTTACAATACACTCACATACAAGATTGTTCATTCATTAAATAAGTACAAAAAAACATTACACACTTACCGGTTTAATAATATATACTAAATAAATCTGTATATACATTAGTTAGAAAAGTATAATAAAACATATAATGAGTCATTTCATACATTTATGAGATAACTTTAAAAATACATATTGAGTATGTATTTACAATGTTCAAACTATTATGATAACATATATTACATAAATTTGTCCACACTGATCAAATTATTATTATAACATACATTAGATTAGTTTGTCCATGTCCTTGTTACATTAGTTTAACAACATAAGTTAGAGGAGTATCTTCATATATATTATAATACACATTAAAGACTCCATTAATTATATGATTTGATGAGTCTTATAATATACATTACACAAATTTTTCTATATACTAATAAGACGAGTCTAACAATATTCATTAAACAAATATGTCTTTATACATATTAAGTACTCCTACCATGATCAGCGATCTCTTCCTTAACATTTGGCTTCCACTGTACAGGATTTTTAGTGATTTTAATGAATTCTGACAATAACAAATAATAATAATAAATAAATAAAATAGCATTATTAAAAAAAATACATAATGTCAGGCTATAATTATAAATTATTATACGATAAATTATTAATATTTAAATTAGTTATCATAAAACCGTCCCGATAATTGTTTGTAATTAAATAACTCTATACAACTATTTTACGATGTTAATATATCTACTTGAATTGTTATTTGATAAGTCATAAAACAGAATATATATTTTTTTCCATTTTTTTTGAAAACAAGTTATATGTATGCATCATTAAAAAACAATTTATAGACATGTATTCAAAATTATTTCTTTAGATAATCGTGGTCTCTTCAATAATGATAATATGTGTTATAAACTTTCTAAAATAAAAATAACAACAATAATAATAATAATAAAAATAAAAAAAATGACTGCCATCAGATAAACTAGTACAATTATTACTGTATGTACCAAATAGTTGTTATAAAAATTGGTTTAATCCTTTTGGATATCCCTATTTGTGTAGGGTTGTCTCAAATAGGTCCTCGTATTTTTATTTATTTCAATTAAGTCCCTTCTTTTTTTAAAATTGACTCAATTAGACAAATTATTATCATTATACTGTTACAAGAAATACTATTTTATAAGTATTAATATAATTTTAATTTTCTTTTCAAATAGTACATCAATAAATTAAAACTTAAATTTTTGTTGTTAGAATTCTAACAATTTTTATGAATTTTACAACTATAGCATAATTTTTTAAAATTGATTTAAATGAGCGTTGAACGCATAAAATAAGTAAAAAAAAAAGGAAATTCTATTTCTGATTAAAATACAAAAATAACATTTTTGTTCAAACACGATGGACCTAAGATGGATAAATAAAGATAACAAAAAAATATAATACGAATACAAATTTATAACAATTGACCAATATAAATTAAACATAAACTACTTTTTGGTGGATTATGAAATTATGGCTGCAATTGCTTTGAAAAGCAGTTCAGACTAATAACAAATTCACCATCACTACAAAACCTGGGCTTGGGTTTGGGCCTGGACTGGGCCAGTATTTGTAGATCGGCGTCGTTGAGGGTGAAGGTTACCGGGAGCATTTTCCAATTTCAATTTGAACGGGGCATGAGCAATAAACCCCACAATCTCGGTTGTTGGTCTCTTTTACTCAGCAAGTGAAGAAGAGGAGAAAAGAGAAAAGCTTTCCAAAATGTTCAAACTATCGCGGGTGCTTCATCTGACCTCCACTTCTAGGTACTCTCTGTTACTACCTTATTACTTCAACTATGTACTCACTTTTCCCTTTCTCTTCAATATCGGCTATTGTCTGTACTTGCTATTCCGTTGTTCTTCACAACTTCGTATCAACACTAAATAACAAACATGAAAGTGGGCCGTCCCAGATAAAAAACAGAAGGTTTTTAAAAAGGGCTTTGGGGAATTTTGTTGTAAATTGCTTAATGTGGTGTGAATCTGGACACGCCATACCCCAGAGGTAGCTTTCGATAATGTCAGATGAATCTTCGTAGTAACATGGTTAGATGGTTTTAAATTTTACAATTTTGTGAAACAGGCATAGGCTGTTGGAAGTGTTGTCGTCTAGGAATGTTGAAGTTGGAGACTCTCTGTGGGATCGGCGTGATTTTACCCATTCAGCCGGCATTTCTACTGCTACAAATAATTATGCTGCTAAAGGCATTGCTTATACTAGTGTTTATAATTTTGCTACTTGTTGAGGCTGCAACTGAACTTACTGGGCTTTACTTTTACTTTTTATTTTTCTGCTATGAACTTCTCTTGCAGGGTATGCCTCGGATCGTATATTTGCTCCTTATACTGTTTACAAGGGCAAAGCGGCATTCTCGTTGAGTCCCTGTCTTCCAACTTTTACTAAGTTGGATGTAAGATTGCTTTTTTCTTTTAATAATTTTATTGAATGGACATTTTGCGTGTGTTATTAACGCATATGTCATAACTATGAACTCCACTTGTCTAGTCCGGGACTGTTGTAGTTGATCGACGTGGTTCAATCATGATGACTTTCATGCATTCTATTGGAGAACGCAAATATGACTGGGAGAAGAGACAGGTAATTGTTTTTGCTATCCATTTGCATGGTTATAGGTTACTGGGGTTTTGACCTGTTTTTTGTTTATCTCTCTCATAGTGATTATCTTTTTGTAGAGATTTGCTCTCTCAGCCACTGAAGTTGGTTCTTTGATAAATATGGGCTCTCAAGATTCCTCTGAATTCTTTCATGACCCTTCAATGTTATCAAGGTTGGTTTCATGGATCTTGGATTAGGTTTTGACGGCCAACTAAATATCATCTTAGTGAACTATAATGGGGTTGAATAAAAAGTACATCATCATCAGCTTTTTAGTCAGATTTTCTTTTTATATTTGTATTAATCAAAGATAAATAGCGATGACTGCTTTGTAATCGTATTATGTTGCAGTAATGCTGGCCAAGTAAGAAAGAGCTTATCTATTAAGCCCAATGCAAACAGCAATGGATACTTTGTGTCATTGAGTAAGATTATTATTTTTTTCATTAGTTTTTTTTCTTCTTTTTTGCTGCTTACTCAGATTGCACAATGCACCATGTGTTCTCTCTGATTGTTGCACCTTCTTTGGCAGATGTTGTCAACAACCTGTTAAACACCAAAGACTACTTCAGTGTTCCTGTCACAGCTGCCGAGTTTGCTGTAATGAAGACTGCTTGCAGTGTATGCCTTTTATCTGCTTATTTTTTCATAAATTCTCAAATTATATTATAGCTTTTATGAGCTGATGAGTTTCTACTTGCAATAATTCAAAAATAAGAACAGAGATGGTTCCTTTTATATCATGAATTTTCTTTGTAGCGTTGGAAAGGACAAAGAAACTAATTATCCCGTCATCTTGCAAGCCTAACATTCCTAATCAACACCATTCTTGTCTTGAACCTTGGTTAATACTAGAGTTGTCAACTTGACCCATAGCTCATTGACCAGTCCTAGCCCACCCCTAAATAAGTCCCCTTTTGGAGAGTCCCTAATTGAGGGGGCCAAGAAAAAGTCCTAGCCCCCAAAGCCCTCTCTCAAGTGGGTTAGGGTCAGGGCTAAGGTGGGCTTGGCCCCACTACAAAGCGAAATGCAGTCGCTGAGTCGGCCCCGACTAAAATTTGGCCGAATTTGTCTGATTCTGCCTCGACCGAAATTTGGTCAAATTCGGTTGAGTCTACCCTGACCCGAATTCGGACCCACCCTTAATTGTTGGTCGAGAAAAGCCGAATTGGGTCAATGGTCATGACTAGTTGGCTTGGGCCGAAGGTCAAGATTGGTGCAACCTAGGACGAAGGTCGAGACTAGTCGATCCTACTAGTGACGAAGGTGGACTCAAGCCGTTCCGGATTGAAGTTTTAGACGAGTCAAGGTCGGGATGGTCCATGGGTTGAGGATCTACTCTAGTCGGTTTTGTTAAAAGTTGAGACACGCCTATTCAAACTAAAAGTCGAGACAAGTCAGCCTATACTAAAGAAAGTCCATGTGCTCATAGGGCTTTTTGGTCCTATGAATTTTTCAATGGAGGGCCTTTTTTTGATTGTGTGAGTTTTTTTGGTCATAGCCCATGTGGATTAGGGCCAAGCTCTACGGTGAGCCAAATTGACAGCTCTAGTTAATACATCGCAAAAATGCCCTCAATCTTGATTCATCATTTATGGCCCATTAAATTTAGCACATTTCTGATCCAGAATCAAGAAATTGAGAATTGATAGGTTCCTAAACTGGGAACCTAATCAAGAACTCCCTCACAGTCTCTCACACCCAGAAAACAGAGAGAAATATGTGGTGAATTGTGTATTATTAACAGAAAAAATAGTGTGTATACAAGATCCAGAGGCATAACCCTCTTCAGAGGTCAATGGCATGTTAACAAACAATGTACTCAAAAACTACCTTCTAACTATCCAAACAATCTATTTATACAATTCCTCTACCTTCTATCCTAATCCCATTTCCCATTATACCCTTATATCCCAAATACCCTATATCCTAACAAGAACTCATGTGGGTTTCTCATGACATTTTTATTAGCATTCTTGAACTGCCTTTTACACATATGACAACCCACTGTTGCTTTCAGGAGAGGATTCAAATAGTTGATTATATGCTAATTTTTTTTACTGTGGAACTGTCATGTTGGTTTCATTCATAATATACTGTTGGTAAATAGTACTTAAGATTAGTATATATAAAATTGTACTAGTGATTAAACCGGTGAAAATGGCTCATGTTTCACTAGTATAAGGATTGTTGGACCAAATACACACGCACGCACTCAAGGATGAATTCAGACCCTCTAGAGTTGGTTTAAAAACTACAAGGATCTTGACCCTTAAAATATTAAGTTTGTTTTGTAGAAGTAGTTTAAATAACTGTGGTGTAAAGCCGTTAGATCCAAACTGCATGGGATGCAGTTCATTTTTGGACTGCAGAAGATCCATATCCCCATATGCACACCATATTCTATATCCTGCAAGAAAAGAAAAACGCAATGAGGTCAAATAATGATCATTCTACAGGTACATGACATAGAGTGTTAAAGGAAAACGAGGTTGAAGGGGTAACCATTGTGTTCCTTGATGCTTGGAAGTTCCACACTGGAAAGTCAGTCAATTATAAACGTATATAGAAGCTCAGGGGAGGGAGGGAGATTATATTTGCGAGTCCCTAAATGAAAACTAGGACGGAGGCAAGTCATATCATCCCTTGCTTACATGCTGGCCTTTGTAGTTTGAAACTGCTGTCACTTGGCTTAAATAATCCTTCGGATTGAATTCAACGAAACTTGAATTCCATGGTCATCTCTTCCTTTCTTACAACATGTATACTTTTGCACCTTCTTAAGAGTTTTTCCACTTATTAATTTGTATTATAATGCAGTTTGCATTGCCACACATTATGGGTTGGGACCAGATAACTAATCCGCAATCCAGAGGCACAGTGGGCATTCAACGGAAGGGTGGCTCTCAAGTTTTAGATTTGGAATGGGAAAAATGAATTGCTGCAGAGGAATATGAAATGGATCCTTGTTTGTTTCGCAATTCCATTTCTATATTGTCAATTTGAAGACTAGGATTACTAGTTATCAATTTTGTATATTATAACTGGCAATATTTGATCAGGTGTCAGTAGCTTTTTGCCATTAACCATGTTATTGTGTTGTCATATAACTTGTAAAACCACTCAGGTCTTCTGTCTGGTTTTGAAAATACTATCTGGCTGTTTGAACATCAACAGTCTGATTGCAACACGGACGAATATGAGTCGTCAAGTTAAATGCTAACAGATTTAATAGTTAGTTGATGACTGTGTCCAGTCTTTCCATATCATTGTTATTCCTGGTTAAAAAGATGGCTAATCTTTGTGAGCTTTTGGTATAGAAAATGTAGTTCATTTGATTAAGAATGTTTGAGTTACAAAAAACTATTTGACATGTGGTAAGTTCTTATGGATAGAAAATTACTCTGATGTTGGCGAGTTTTGTGTATGAGCTTTGTTGGTGATTGATTTTTTTTTCGTTTTTACTTGTAAGTCTTTTTTGAAGATTTAATTTTGTCTACATGAAAATTTGGTTAAACTACAAATATGTTTATTCTAACCTTTTTAAAAGGTGAAAAAGGTACATAGTATATCGCTAGAAAGGAAGAGAAAATACATAAAGCTATAGTCTAAGAAAGGTATAGTCTAATCCAAAACTAATATACATAAAAAAAATGTATTTAACAAAAAAATATATCATTTATAATTATGAATTCTTCTTTTTTAGTGTTTATATTTATTTTTCAAATTTACTTTTTAGATAAAAGTATTTTTTTAAATTAAAAAAATATTTTATTAATTTTTTCTTTAAATAGTTGTTTTTTAACTTTAATTATTTTTTAATTGATCATTTTTTAAATTAAACCATTATTTTAATTAGAGCTGTCAAAACGGGTTACCCGACCCGGTTCGGCTCGACCTGGTTTGGTCCACCACAGATTGGTCACTTAGTGAGCCAACCCAACCCGACTCATTTATTACCGAGCTACAAAAATTCGAACTCGGTCTTGGTGGGTAAACGAGTTGGCTCACTAGCTCACTTAATTACAAATTTTTTTAAATAAAAAAAAAATTATAAACTTTCTATAATTCAAATCTAAAGAAATTTCACTTCCAAATTTCACTCCCGGGGTGTTTAATTAATTTTGAAAATAAGGAATTTAAATAATTTTTTCAAGCAAAAACAAAATAATAAGTATTTTTTTATAAAATTAAAATTAAGTTTTAATAAAATAAAATTATGTAGGTGGGTCAACCCGGTCCACCACGGGTTTAACCCACATGAGCCGAGTTTAAATGAGCCGGGTTGAAATCTGACTCGCATAAAAAAAATACAATTTTTCAAACCCAACCTGGCTCAAACTCGTGGTGGATCGGGTTGGCCTGCGGGTTGTAACCCATTTTGACCGTTCTAATTTTAATTGTAAAAGTACTTGCAAAATAAATAAAAATTATTTACATAACTTATAAAAGTGATTTATATTTAATTTTATAATTATGATAGTAATAAGAATAATTTTATTATCATAAAAAAGAATGAATACACATATATGTATTTTTATTAGAATTAAAAATAAAATAAAAATATCTAGCCTTTTCTGAATATTTCATTTCACACGCAATTCCAAGAATAATTATGTGGTTATAAATGAAGATTAGATAACCCTTAAGCTCTTAATGGACAATCTTTACCTATTGTAGAAGGTATAGTTTGTTGTTAATTTCAGTCAACATATCAACATCCAACATAATGGGTGCATGGAGAAATTTGACAGTGTACAGTGCAACTTGTAAGCTTACCATTATGGGTGTTACTCCCTCCACCCCCACACGTCTCTTCCTCCACCTCCCCAATTTTCTAAAATGCCAATTATATCTTTCTAAAATGACAATTATATCCTCAAAAGTTAAAATTTTTTATTTTTATTATTTTAATATTTTAATTTATTTAAAACTTCTGATTTACTTCCCTCTGCACCTCTTCCTCTCTTCCATTTTCGTTTACCTTTCTCTCTTCCGTTAAGCTTCTTCTCCACCTATAACAAATTCATATTTTAACAAATTCATATTTTAACAAAATTATTACGTTTAAAAACTAACCATATATAACATTTAAAATTATAAATTTAAATATAAATTACTGTAAATAAAATAAACAAATAAAATAAAAACGAAACGTAAAAGGAACACTGCCTCTGGACGGATGACATCCTTCAACGGATGTCAACATCCGTTGAAGGCAAAACGGATGTCGACATCCGTTTTGCCTTAAACGGATGTCGACATCCGTTTTGCCTTAAACGGATGTTGACATCCGTTGAAGGATGTCATCCGTCCATAGGCAGTGTTCCTTTTACGTTTCGTTTTTATTTTACTACGTTTTGCGGCTCATGCAAGGATTATAGGCTTGGATATTAAAAGGATTATTGGAAGTATGGGAAGGATTTAGGGTTTAGGATTATTGGAAGGATTATGACTACGTACCTGGAGAGGAACCACGACAAGGACACTACACCATAAACGCACTGCACCACGTACTGCACCGAGAACAAGAAGAAGATTGTTTGATAATTCTTTTCACGATCACCAAGCTTTGTAGAAAAATATTTTACTCATACAAGAAACTACGTAGGTTATCAGTGAAATATGTTATAAATGAATAAAATTAAAAAACAACAATTTTAAAAATAAAATTTTACTGAGGGGCAAAATAGTAAAGGAAAGGTAGAGGAAGGGGCAAAATAGTAAAGGGGAGGTGGAGGAAGAGATGTGTGGGGGTGGAGGGAGCAACACCCTACCATTATTACTTTAGGACTGAGATGGAATGTTTTAGTGGATTGGTCCTTAAAAGCCTAGCCCATATAAGGATGCATAAAAGAACAAAGCAACTTCTTCCTGCACCTCAGTTGAAATTATAGAAATGCAAGAAGAAATGGTCAAGAAGCAAATATAAATATAATATTAAAATCAAATGTTAAATATTTTCTGTTTCTTTTTTATACAATATATATATTTAAAATCTGTAAGAAGTATGAGCATAATTGAAAAAGAAAAGTGGATACTAAAATGGGAGGAAGTTTGCATTAATTAAAACCTTCTTATTCATTATATTTATAAACAAATTAATTATCTTAAAATAACATTTTAATCAATTAACTCAAGTAGTCTGCTTGAGACTATATAATGTTTTATGTTCAAAGTTGTAGTATTTGGTTTTTAAATAATTTTAAAAAATCAAAGTGATTTATTAAAGTAGATAATTAATATAAAATTTGGACAATAAATTAAATTAGCATGGAATTTTCTAATTTCTATAATTTATCATTTCATTATTTTTATTACTTTTGAAAACTATTCTATTGATACTTATTAATGCATTTTATTTTCATACTTTGCAGTAGCATCAATAGCCAAGATAAATGGAATGAATTTGATTTTGAAAGGTTGAATATAAGAGATGAGTTAGAAATCAATTTAATCTTAAAATGATATTTTTGACAATTCTGTTATATTTTATAAAACACACACACATTGGAACAAATTTAATTGGAGAAAAATTTACTGTACAACTTTTGGAAACACTGAACGTACTAATTTCATACAATAATAAAGAATTGATTGAAGGTAATATTTATCAATGTTAAATTAAATTCTTCAAATTAATTATGATCTTAAACGAATATTGACAGAAAAATATGTTTAAAATTTCGAAATTCCTAAACACAATTGTATTGATAGATAGGATTTTGATCAATCTTAAAATAAATTTTATTGTTCAAGATTTAGAGGTATATATAGTTTTACCTATTGCTTAGAGTTTCCATATCGAGACTAAAGATAATACCAAATTAGGATTAATTTATTATAAAAGGAAACTATCTTTTTAAAATAAATTGCTTTATGCTAAATTTAAAATGCAAATGTACTTCCAGTTTACCATCAAATTAAGCTTTAATATTTGATTTGACAATTTTTTATAAAAGTAAAATAGTTTTACCAAAAATTAACTTTTACATTTTCAAAGAAAAAGAGAGAATATGAAAAGTAATGAATGATAATGTCAATATTTAAAATGTATTTTGATATCAAATACCATTGTCGTGTTCATAGCCAAATATCTTTTGGATTTCATAAATTTTTACAATCACTTAACATCCACTTTTTTCACCCTTTGCTCTCTATCTTGACAATTACAAAATGTTACTTTTTAAAATGATCATATTACCCTCAAAAGTGATTGTAAAAAAACATTTTCCAAAACTGTTTTATGCTAAACATGTACTCAGTTCAGTTCCAAGTTTACCTTTATCAATTAGGAGGAAAAAAAGCTTTAATCTTACAGTGTATTATTTTGAAATACAAAGGGAGTTAAAAACAACTTAAAATCTTTAAACTCAGGCATATAATTCTCACAATAATCATTCCATTGGTTGTAAAGAAAGAAAAAGAGAAAACAAAATTAATATTAGATGAAAGTGATTCAATATCTCTGACCATTTCCAATCGTGTTTATGCATGGATATACATACATGCGTCCAGAAAATCCTTCATGACTTATTGGCTACAACAGAAATACATTTTCCTTTCCCTTCCAAAGGAAACAAAACAAAAAGGTGAAAGCAGAAACAAGAATGGAAATGGCTGCTGCCGAAGAACAATAATTCTATATTTACGACGCAAAGAATCTAAGACATCACTTAAACCTGAACCAACTCAAAACAATACTACGTAAGTGCTTGAAAACGAAAAATGTGGTAGGTTATGATGTGATCACGGGCACTGAGGACTGTTACCTGGGCCACCATAGTAGAAGTACGTGCCCCATTCATTACTATAGGAGCTCTTGATGTCATAACAGTTGGTGTTCTCAGCTAGGGTTAAGATGTTGTGCACCGAGCTAAGACTATTGTCGGTGTCTACAATCTCAAGGTTACGAAAATAGCTTGCTTTTCCAAAACCATCTCCGGCGAAGTGCCCAGATCCCATTTGGGTGGAGGTGTGTTGCCCGTTCGCACGTGTGTTCACCACTTCGCCACCCCACTCCACCATGGTCGCATGTGTGGCCAAGTGTGTGAATAACTCCACTGGCCAATACCCCACCAGTGTGCCATCGCCGAAACTCATCCACCAGTTCCCTATTTTCGGGTCCTGATATTGGTGTTACAAAAGAAAACGATGAAGAACACTGAAAAGTTTAGCATGTAATTTGCATGTGGAAGAAGAAACACGAACCTTCCAAACGAGGATGGTGATGTCGTATTGGT